TACTTATGTACAATATAAGCTGACCTCTATTCCTTCTGCTGATGAACAATATAAGATTACCTCTGGTCCTACTACTGATGTACAATATAAATTGTCTTGTGGTCCCCCCTATTGATGTTCAATATAAGGTGACATCTGGTCCCTCTACTGATGTACAGTACAATATTAGGTGACCACTAATCTCCGTACTCATGAAAAATATCGGGTGACCTCTGGTCCTCATACGTACTGTTGTACAATATAAGGTGTCCTCTGGTCACACTACTGATGTACAATAGAAGGTGACCCCTGGTACAACTGCTGATGATCAATATAAAGTGACCTCTCATCCCCTTTCTCGTGTTAAATATAAGGTGTCCTCTGGTCCCACTACAGATGTACAGTACACTATTAGGTGACCACTAGTCCCCGTACAGTATAAGGTGACCTCTGGTCATCCTTCTGATGTTAAATATAAGGTTACCTCTGGTCCCCCTATTGATATACAATATAAGGTGACCTCTAGTCCCCCTACTGATGTCTCCTACTGATGTACAATATAAGGTGCCCTCTGGTACCCCTATTGATCTAAAGTGTAATATTAGGTGTCCTCTGGTCCCCCTACTGATGTACAATGTAAGGTGACCTCTGGTCCCCCTACTGATGTACAATACAGGGTTACCTCTGGTCCCCTATTGATGTAAAATGTAATATTAAGTGTCCTCTGGTCCCCTAGTGATGTTCAATATAAGGTGACCACAGGTCCCCTACTGATGAACAATTTAAGGGGACCTCTCTGGTCCCCCTACTGATGTCTCCTACTGATTTTAAATATAAGGTGTCTTTTGGGTCTCCTACTGATGTCCCCTCCTGATGTACAAAATAAGGTGCCCTCTGACCCCTCTATTGATCTTAAGTATAATATTAGGTTCCTCTGGTCCCCTACTGATGTTCAATATAAGATGACCACAGGTCCCCGTACTGATGTACAATATAAGGTGACCTCTGGTCCCCCTACTGATGTACAATATAAGGTGTCCTCTGGGCCCCCTACTGATGTACAAATAAGATGATTACTGGTCTTCCTACTGATTTAGAGTATAAGATAACTTTTGTTCCCCCTTCTTATATAAAGTGCATTATAAGGTTTCCTCTGGTCCCCCTACTGTTATTCAATTTAAGGTGACCTCAGGTCCCCCTACTTATGTACAATATAAGGTGATCCCTGGTCCCCCTACTGATGTACAATATAAGGTATCCTTTGGTCCCCCTACTGATATAAAATATAAGGTTACCTATGGTCCCCCTACTGATGTACAAAATCAGGTGGCCTCTGGTCCCCCATATGATGTAGAACGGAAGATGACATCTGGTCTCCCTTTTGATGTACAATATATGGTGACCTATGGTCGCCCTAAAGATGTGCGATATAAAGTGACTTCTGGTTTTATTAACCTTTTACCTGTGGTATTCGCATAAAGATTATGGAAACAAGCTGAAGTCTTATATTGTCCATCAATAAGGATTTCATACTTCACAAATTGTAGTATATGAATGAGACAAAGGTAATCTCATGTTGTACATTATTACGATGTTATTAAAAGTTGTAAGTTGTAATAATTTAAAATCATGGCATGTGTAGAATTATTTTTCAAATCCTCTCAAAAATGGAATTGCGACCCTAATTTTTTGACCGAGGAAAAAGTGCACAATTTCTCCGAATTCTCTAAATGTACATGTATGTAATTGGAATTTGGAGGATTAGTAAACTTGCTTGTCTTCAAATACAGTATATGTATCCCAAAGTTCAATAACAATTGGTGCATTTTTTAAATTTTATTTCCTTTTTTTAATGTAGTTTTGACGGGTTTGTGAATTTGATATGTTAATTCCAGGGAAAGGGGAGGAGAACTCCACACAGCCCGAAACTTTGTAATACAAAGTGTACATCTTCTTTGTAAGATAAATAAAAATCAGGGATTTCCGGCAAAGAGTGTTAAACTGATGATGTCACCTATTTAAGCATGACCTCATAAGGAAGACAAAAGAAACATTAAATAATTTATTAACAAATAATTATTCCATTATGATAAAGGATTGGTGAAAAGTCCGAGCAAAATGAAAAGGGGTGGTAGGGGGCAAAATCTTCACACACCCCCCTCCCCCCCCCCCGCTTGTTAGAGATCTGCGAATGCAGAGACTGGACGTACGTCGTTAACTCTGAGTCGCTCAATATCAGTAAGGAGATCAGAGGCTAGACACTGTGTTATATAGATACTATAACCTTACATGGAATAATAAAATCATAGGGGAGACCAGAGGTCACCCAATGTAATCCATAAATGTTAAACTCTAATATATCATATATCTTATATAATATTGAAGTTAGTGTTGCTCAGCAACCTCCCTCCCACTCTTCGTTTTCTAATACCCATCACAGATGGTTATTCCCTTGACAAAAATAAATTTTCTGGGTTTTTTTTTACACTGAAAAGGCTTCACATTATCACGATTTATTCTATTTTCACTTTACATATGCAACGGACTACATTTTGTAGCGGAGTAAACAGACCCGAGAGACGTGAACTGCGCGGGGGACCTAAGGTCCTAGTTCAGCGTACGTTTTATCCTTCTGCGTTTTAAGATGAAACGGCGGGTAAATAAAGCTAGATAGCTTGGTTTAGTGTAAAATTCATCGATACGAGTGCCATTCAAAACGTTTCACCTGTTCAAAGGACAAATAAAATGATGACGACTTTGTTGCACAATGACATGCTGGTGAGATAATTATGTATTCGTTTCAAAAGTATCCTGTCTGTAAATTATTTTCCTCCCCCAGGTTTTAAACTGCCCGTGGTAGCTATTGCATATTGCCAGCGACATTGTTTAGGTCTCTGTTATAGCTTACAGTCTAAGCATCATTCTTCAGAAACGGGTTGCTTATGCATCAGATGTAATGAATAAAACTATGGGAGAAGTTAAGTCCATTTGAGGAAGAAATAAACAATAACCTGAAGAAATTAAAAAAAAAATCAACTATTAAAAGGGAAGAATATACAAATATATACAGGCATGTAGTATCATTTGTATCAGCCAGAAAAATTATTTTACACTTAATTGAAAAAATGTTCCCAATACTCCCTGTCTGTTTTATGATAGGAATTATAATTTTAGGCATCAAGTAAATTTTAGAACAATGTCAAACACATTCACCTAACACATACTAAAAAAATGAAGATAAATTGAAAGACTTTTAAAGAATTGATTTTTTTAAAATATATTTTGACCAACAATACAAAATTTATATAAATGGCCCAAACTGGCAAATGATGAAATAAGCAATTAAATGTTCTACTTTCCTATTTGTCCAGTGGTAAGGAGCCTATTAGAATAGCATAAAAAAAGAATGTACAAATGTTAATAATTGATTTATCAAAAAAAAAAAATTTATTTCCTTCTCCTTCGGGACTTTTTTATTCTCATGTTCATAACTAAACCTAAACATAAAAAAATGCTGGCCTTATAATGAAGAAAGGGGCCTCTTTCAAAATAGATAATTTCAGGGCCGCTGGGTCAGGACTCAGGGGTACCAGGAGGGTGTTTTGGCTAAAAATAAATTAATGCTTTAAAATCTACCCTTTGCTAAGCAATGGTGCCTCCTTCAAAATTTGTGAATTTCATGGCTTTTGGATTAAAACACGAACCAAATACAATCGGTGGAAAGTTGTTACATGATACTCAGGTGACCTATAAGGCCCGTGGGCCTCTTGTCTCCTGTTATACTGCTAAATTTCTTCAAAATATCTGTATATCATTTCAGCTCAAATCACTTAAATCAATCCAAAATTATGAATAAATTAACACAATGTTTTCCTAATTCTAAGAGCCTGTTCATATTATAGTCATTTTACCTATAGGGCCTCTGGCATACCATGCTAGTGCTCTATCCAACTGAGCAATTGAGACCCAATATATTGACTGACTTTCGCGCACCTGTGAACCTGGTAGCATTATTATGACATCACAACATTCAATCAAACGCATTCCCTAGAAAACATGAGATCTAAAACAAGATTCCCTGTTTGCTTGAGTCGGAGTCCTGAGCTATATATATTATGTGTTGTGGTAAGGGTAGAAGTTACACTAAAGTCTTACTCTAGGCCTTTCAACTGCCGCTAGGGGTCGGTGTTATGAACGATAACTCACTGCTGAAACATGTTTAGAGCAAGCTCGAGGTATCTAACTGTTTACACGCAAGGCAGTTTTTAACATTTCCCAAGTGTTTCTTTGCTCTCAGTAGAATCCAGTGGTTTTAAGATATAGCACCAATGTTAAACTTATTTACTGTATAGTTGCGGACACCGGTTTACTGCATATAGTTAAATTTTTTTATTAAAATAAAAAGTGAAATCTACCCTCCTTCTCAGTTCTAACCTATTTAAATTTTTATACTCGGTCGTTCCCCTTCGTGCTTAGTAACACAAATAAGATGATCAATTGTTGCATTTACTTGTAAAAAATATATATATTTACACAGGAAGCGAAAAAGCGCGAACACAAAAAACATGACATTAAATTTTCTTCTTCATAATAATCGTCAAAGAGAGTTAAAACTATTGAATATAGTCTGTTCCCCATTCATTTGACCCTGTTATTTCAGATAGAGTGAAGGCATTCTCTAACTCTTGGTCAAAACTTTTTGTATACAAAACAATGTAAGGAACCCTTTTGTGTATATAACAATACCAATGCTGAAGCAGCCTATATCTCATTCCTATAAACGATAACTCATAAATCGGCACTAAGTTGGTCATTTTTCACACCCGAGTTACCTGTCCTTAAACACAACATCGGAAAAGTCATTTATAAATGATTAAACTTTTTAATGATGTAATTAAAAGTATGCATAAGTTATTATCTTTTTTGGTAGTTTCATGTACCTATAAATCTAACTATACAATGTTTAATTTTTACCATATGTGCAACTTGAAAAATTAGTTGAAAGGCCTAGACTAACTTACTCTGTCTGGGGGTGATGCTGATATCAAACGAGTACTGCATGGCTGTAGGGTCACCCTTCTTCAGATCCACAATCACCTGGGTACCGGTGAAGGTCATGGTCATAGGAGAGCGGGGGTAGTTGTCACAGTTATAAATGTTCTGAAAGAGAACACACATTCATATGCTTAAACTGTACAAGAATGCTTTTTTATATGTCAAAACTTGACCATACAAAATATGAGTATCCATCACTTTTTTTGACTCATACTTTTGACAGATGGCCTACTTTCAACGGCTAGAAAGGCCTTGGTCATATAATTGTAAATTTTAGCAAGAGGCAAATTTAGGGATTTCGCTTTTTCTTAATTTTTAGTGAAAAGCAATTATTTTAGCAATTTTAAAGCTTTTGCAGACAAAATGCAATTAATTTTTAGTGATATTTAAATTACGCGATCTCAGCCACCCTCGCTAATACTATTAAAACTTCGCTTAAAATTCTGCTTTGTACTGTAAGTGAAAGAAAACTGATTGTACTAAATCTTACATTGGTGTTGGTGTAGAGTGAGAGTGTATTAAATCTTACGTTGGCGTTGTATCAAATCTTACATCGATGTTGTATTAAATCTTTTGTTGGTGTTGTATAAATCTTACGTTGGTGTTGTACTAAATCTTATGTTGGTGTTGTATCAAATCTTACGTTGGTGTTGTACTAAATCTAATGTTGGTGTTGTATTAAATCTTACGTTGGTGTTGTACTAAATCTTATGTTGGTGTAGTATTAAATCTTACGTTGGTGTTGTACTAAATATTATGTTGGTGTTGTATTAAATCTTACGTGGGTGTTGTACTAAATCTTATGTTGGTGTTGTACTAAATCTTATGTTGGTGTTCTACTAAATCTTACGTTAGTGTTGTACAAAATATTATGCTGGTGTTGTACGAAATCTTACATTGGTGTATGTACTAAATCTTACGTTGGTTTACTAAATCTTATGTTAGTGTACTAAATCTTACGTTGGTGTTGTACTAAATCTTACGTTGGTGTTGTACTAAATCTTACGTTGATTTTGTACTAAATTTTACGTTAGTGTACTTAATCTTACGTTAGTGTAATAAATCTTACGTTATTAGTGTACTAAATCTTACATTGGTGTTGGCATAGAGCGAGAGGATGACGGAGGGCTCCCGGCAGTTGAAGAACTGGACTCGGGTCTGCAGCTCATACTTGGCCTCGGTCCGCACCGTGATCTTACACTGGATCCCGATCGGCTTCGGACTGACTGTCCCTCCCCCCTTAATGATGACCGTCTCATCCAGACTAATGGTCACTGGATCCACAAAACAACTGTCCTCCAACTGGTCTGAAAACACAGAGCATTCAATGTGTTATAACTGTGTTTTCCAAAATAGTAATATATATGTAAGACTCCAAAGTCCGATGGTGACGCCAAAGTCCGATGGTCTCGCCAAACCCCGATGGTCTGCGCCAAACCCCGATGGCACGCTGTCTTTACGGCCGCCAGAGTCCGATGGTCACGCGAAAGTCCGATGGCTCGTTTCCTATGAGACGCGCGACGCTAAAGTGCGATGGTCTGACACGCCAAAGTCCGATGGTGCGGTGGAACAATCAACGTTCATGACGTCACAATAGTCCGACGTCATGACGTTGTCCTGCATTCAAAATCCATTGATTCAGTATTCGTCTCACATACATTTTTACTGATATTGCTTATTTTCGCCCACCAGAGCTGTTAGGGCTAGTTCTTGTAGACTATTCGACTGATAAGGGTTAGTTCTTGAACACCAACGTGTTTCCCTGAGAGATTTTATGGTTAGTCCTTGCACACTGATTTGGGTTAGTCCTGCACCCATCCAAGATATCTAACTTATAGTTTTAACACATTTTCCGACTGATAAGTGTTAGTTTAGCACCTATATCTAAAAGATTAGGGTTAATCTTTGCATTTAATATTTATTTGTATTTTATTTTAAACAAATCGGGCTTGGCATGGCGCGGTATCGCATTTTTGCGCAGCAGTACTATGACGTCATAAACGTTAATTGTTTTCGGCACCATCGGACTTTGGCGTGTCAAACCATCGGGGTTTGGCGCAGACCATCGGACTTTGGCGTGACCATCGGACTTTGGAGTCCCATCGCACTTTGGAGTCCTACATATATAAAAAAGAACACTTGAGAATTTCAAAAATAAAATGTTCCTAATTGTAAGCTAATATTTCCAGATGAAAGGTTGACACCATATACAATGTACCAGTGTATTAATACATAAACATGTACACCTTATTATCAGCTATAATAGCCTAGTATTCCCAGTCAGCATCAATATGTTGGCCCAATGTAATGCCAACAATATTCATTTTGTTGGCCCAACGTTGCATACCAATGTTGGTTCAATGTTTAAGTGCAAAGTGGGCTAATGTTGGGCCAACGTTTTGGCTTTACGTTGGCCCAACATTAGACGCCGATTGCATGGGTGTTGGCCCAACCTTGGATATATGTTGGGCCTACGTACTAGACTACAAATATTGGACTTATGTTGGCCCAGTATGTCTTTTACATTGGCCCAATGTGTGTTTTACGTTGGCTTAGAGTTTCTCTTACATTGGCCCAGCGTTCCTCTAGCTTACATCGGCACATTGTTTTTCTGATGTTGGCCCGGTGTTATTTTCACATTTGCTCAGCGTCTTTTTACGTTGGCCCAGCGTTTGTTTTACGTTGACCCAGTGTTCTCAACCAATGACTCTTATTTTTAATTTCCAATAAGTGGGAGAAATAACAATAATAAAATAATTTGATACGGTTTACTAATTAAATCATTTACATGAATTAAAAACACAAAATCAAAAAATAAAATTAAAAACTAAATTAAAGTCAAGGATTATAATGATAATTCACCAGATACCAAAAAATTCAAAGTCATTTCTAGGCCATTCATCGGTTGGTCTCCTTCTATTCTGCTGCCGTTTTTTGTTTCCTCTCCTTTCTACCCCATCCCTATCGCAAGAGTATCGTAACCATGCAGTCCTTTTCAGCATCTTCGATATCTTTGTCTTTTGTATCTTTGCAGCATCCATTCTTTCTCACAGTTACTGTCAAAATAAGATACTGTGATTTTATTTGTTATGTGAAAAAAATTGTTTTTTAAATTTCTTAAAACTGCACACTACAGAGATCTATTTTGTAGGGTAATTTTATGTCACTAGAGTGATCTGCCCTTAGAAGTAAGAGAGAAAAATATTGTTTCGGTATTTACAGGTAATTACACAATTTATGCTGGATCAAAATATTCACAACATTATATTACACAAACTTAGATTAACTAATGTACAAATTAAAATACAAATGTGTTTTTGGTTTACTTTACTTGCAATCATTTTGATGACAGATATTTGTGAAACATAATGTCAAAAGTATGAAAAAATTGTAATCTTAGTTCAATAAATTAATGTGACTTTGATGCATTACCCTTGACAGATTCTGATCTTTGACAATTAGACATATTTTTCATGTTTAACTAAATTTGTAAGTTGTCGATCCACACACATACAAACAAACAAACCAAGATAAGTATATCTTCATTATCTTGGGAGTATAAAATAATATTTAAAGATACGTAAAAAAAAAAAATACTCACACAGCAACACATCTTTCAATGAGGAAAAGGAAAATGCTCTCGTCATCCCTCCCTAGCTAGTTCATTTTCTTTGCAACACCGATGTCTATCATGTAAGTCATAATTCTCCGTACATTTCGTATTGTCACCTCTAATCGTTCCCAGTTTTCTTACCTAAAAAGTACCATGTGATTTTAATGCCATATTACCATAGCTCTTCAATAAATACTTCAACTATTTTTATTCGTACTGTAATTATAATGGGTCGGTTTAATGTCATACGATTATTTACAAAATTATTTACAAAATTAAAAATGTATCAGACACAGAAATAAGAATTTATAAATGTATTTGGGAATCACACATACTTAGACTTTTCCGGTTAGTATCGGAGAGACCCGAGATAGCTGCACAATTTTTTAGGACTTTTTTGTCTGAGACCTTATTGAAAGTACAGAATACTGGTCTAAGGGAACTAATATTATAGTATTTATAGCACCATCATTCAAAGGTTGTAGACAAGGAAATAGATTTACATGATAATGATATCACTTATAAAGATTATGTGTACATTATGCACGTGTTTCTATCAACAAGGATCGCCCCCTCCCCACGTTCCCCCATGCATGTGAGAAAATGGAGCTTTGCGCGTTTTAATGAGTTAATTATTATATATACAATGTATATATTTTACTCATTTCTATTTTAAAGGACAAGGGTTTTGATTTATCCCATATGCAAAAATTTAAACCAAAAATCACATATAATATGAAAAGAATATGCATATATGTACAGATTGAATTTGCTACATTGTAGATCAAAATCTGTTCCACTATGTTACTATCATTGATAGAAAATTTCCTTTAAAAATACTCATGCACAAAAAAAAAAAAATCAGAAATACTCACAATGCACATTTTGTTTTAACTGCGTCTATCCTAGCTCAAACAAAATTCAGTCCTTTGTCTTTGTTCTCTACATCTTGCGCGCGAGGAAAGCTGACCTTTATCTAACTCAAAAACTTAATTTATTGCCCTCCTGGGAGTGACATCTTTCAAAGAGCAGAATAACACGTACAGCTGCAATGCTACATTGGCTTTACACTTATTGTGTCTTCTACAATGTTCTCGACCCACATCCAAGAATTTCTTTTAAAATTCTTAAATTGATACGTATGTATGCAGTATTACTTTTTGGCTTTCACAAGGGAAACATTATTTTTTTAAATTTGCAATAATATAAATTCGTGCATATGATATACATGCATATGTATTTTCCCCCCAGTATGATATATAATATGTTAATGATATCCAATGAAACCCATGAAGATTTATTTAAAATCAAAATTACACAATATTGTGATATGTGTGTGCATGATACAGGGAGAGAAAGAGAAGATCGTTGGGTATAGTATTTAACACTTGCTTGATATAAACGTTGGGCCAACGTTGGACCAGCTGTGTTAGCCTTATACCTTGGCATAAAAAATATGGAGATATGTACCTGATTAACTAGTGTCTGTTAAGGAAATGTAATTTTTTTACCATTAGTACCACAACATTTAATCAACAAATTAATAAACACATATTTACATGATTTATACAGTACACATTTGACATAGTGGGCCAAAGTTGGTCCAACTAAAAATATATAGGTAAAGCACTCAAACATAAAGCCAGATAACAAAACTAATGTTATTAACTTATTATAAGATACATTTAATTTATAGTTGTATACTGATTCAGTTACACGTGTGTAGCGTTACATACTCATAAATGATAAACCTTTTAGTAAAATTATCCTCCCAGCTGTTGCAGTATATCTTTGACAAAAATTTGCATTGGGCCAATAATGGTCCAACTACACGAGACCAACCATTTTATGCTGAGTTTGAAACATTCCCCCATTGTCCATTGTGCCAATGCTGTCTTGCCAACGCTGGCCCAATCGTTGTACACCTGCATATGTTCATTATGTTCAGTATTCAATATTGGGCCAATTTAAGTCCAACGATACAAAACCAATGTTTAAGATAGTAATTTTTGTGAAAATTACATACATTGGGCCAATGTTGGCTCAACAATGTAAAACCAATGTATGTTATCACGACAACTTATGTGAGATTAAGATACATTGGGCCAACATTGGCCCAACAACGAATAACTGACATATGCTGATATTGCCACCAAGAGCATAATGTCTAACATTGGCCCAATGTTGGCCCAATCATGTTATACCAACGCCAACCTTGAACCAACAGACCGTTACTCTACCAACGTTGGGCCAATATATGAATGCTGACTGGGTTATTGCATCATCACTCTATTTGTTATTTTTCTAATGATATAAATTTAACAATGAACATGATTAACTTTACTTTGATTCATGGATGATTTTAGCACACAGTAAACAAATTAGTCAGCAGCTTGACTATTAGATGGTTTTTAAAGCAGTCATAATGATGTTGTACAGAGCATCATAAACATTATTAAATCATAATTATTCTGTAGAAACAACCTAAAACATAATATATAATCATTGACCTACATAATCCCCCACACGGTTGTGATGGATGGCCCGCCTTGATTGATGCAGAATTGGTGAATACCACAACTTTGATTATTAACTTGATAATACTAACTGCAGATAATAACTCTTTTTTTCAGAGGTGTTGAAATTCTTTTTTTTTAGCTGTCGGACATTTGGGCTGACTTAAGGTTAAAGATTCTGTCAGTTTTGTCAAATCAGATACACATGCCTTATTTGTACTAAAAGCATAAAAAAATAACTACATCAAAAAGGCCTTTAATCATTTATCATTATTTAAAGTGTTTATCTGACTGTTTTTCTTTTCTAAGGACAGTTAGACATAAACAACACAATCTATACATCTTTGCTTTAACAAGAACAGACAGCCTATTGCTAAGAGACACATTACAATTTGCGTCTTTGCTATATCAAAACTCAATCTACGAACATTACAATATAGACTTATCTGCTGTTTTGGGGATATTCACTGGCCAAATTCAAATCTTCTAAAAAGTTGTGTCATTTCCAATTTTTTCATGGGGTCATTTAGATTGACTTTTTCCATCAAGTCATCAGTCCAGACGACTTTTTACCTTAATTGTCAACAGGAATGACAGTTTTTGACATTTTTACAAAAATTAAATTAAAATTAACGACCAGTACTCACAGTTCCTGGTTCTCTGTGGAAAGGAGAACTCTGGTTGCCATAGCAGCAGAAGGCAGGTCACAATCTGGGCTACCATCTTGTTTTCTGCAGCATTGTTTCTAGGTCAGTAGGTCATTCTTAACACCTGCAAAAATTAAATTAACTGCACATTTATATGTGTTTCAATCATGTCAATACTTGTGATGCTTTTTGTTTAATTAAATATGTGAATTGTTTAACAGCTAACTAATAGTAACTAGCAGTTACTGTAATTGATAAAATAGTTCTAACCCATAGGCCGCATCCCTTACCCCAGGGCACTTTGGAAAGAGAAAAACAGAAATCAGTTAACTTCTGAGAAATTTTTAAATATATAAATAGTCCCATGCTCTCCTAACTCCAGGAGGTGATGATTGGGGGAAAAAACTTAATTGCTTCCATAATAATATATTTACATTCAATGCGGTATTCAATTTGTCAGCACGGCCAGGTGTGTTATAGGACGGAAGACATTCAAAAATATGAATTCAATACTTAAATGACGTCACTAATCATGGCTCTGCTGTTCTTAAGAAGATATTTATTTTAATCATTTTTTTCTGTAAATTCAATGTAAATTCTGATTGCCTAATGTGTCCCTACCCTACCCTCCGGGGCCGTGGTCTGAACAAACTTGATTGAATCAATACTATAATTTATTACATGAGTGGGTGTGCTTGTGAAATAAAATATTATATATTTAGATAATGAAAATGATCCAAAGTTGATCCACAAAACAATACAAAATAGGAGCAGAGCAAACATGGACCTCCAAAACATCGGAGGTGGGATCAGGTTCCATGGAGGAATAAGCATCCCCTGCCGACCAGTCACACCCACCATTTGCTCCTTGTCATGATTGGGAAATAACAGAAGCTCAAGCATCTTTATAGTGTCAATTTCAGAGTTCTTATTAATGTGTAGAATCAGAATGTTTTTTTTAACAAAATAATTTTGCAAATGACCAATGACAAGGTAAATAAATTTTCAAGTTCCATTTTTTATAGAAAATGTTTTAGCAGCTGTCAATATCAAAAAGCCTGGACCTTGAGAACTCTCTCTACACACTAGCTGCTCACTAAAGAATCCTGATTCTGTGGAATTTTCTGCAGTTTTGAGCATGTTATATGTCTATGGAGGCAAACAACAGCCACTGTGATTTCTATTCACTGATACCTGGATACTGTGTTGAGTTTTCCTGGGATCGATATTACCAAGCACCACCCTTTTACAGATTGAAGTTGGAAGGTTCCAGGGTATCCCAGCACACATGCGATTTAAATGAGGCGGAGGATGAAATACATTTTCTCTTTAAATGCGTTATGCACTAAATTCAAAGATGAACGAGAAACTTTCTTAAAATCTATCTAAGACATATGTACCAATTTCCCTAATCTTGATTTTAATGAGAAGCTAATATGGTTTTTTACAAATGAAAATGAGTCAATCTTATGATTACCAAGTCAATTTATATCAAAATATTGTATAGGTATATGCTTTTTGAACAGTACTACATTGTTTTTGTAAATTATAATTGTGCTCTTTTTGCCTATCTACATAAGACATGAGGAGGAATGCAACCTTTTATTCATTTTAGATATTTTACTAGAATTCATGAATTTCCTGAAGCACCATCCCTTGATGTCTTTTTTAGACTGGCAAGTGGCAACCATTAATAGACCTTCATCTTTTAATATATATTGACAGTATTTGCACAATACCATGTTAAAATTAGTTTAATCTTTTTATTATGTTCATTAATCCAAAGTTAATATGGCTTTAAAATTTTTACAAATGAAAATGAGTCAATCTTAAGATTACTGGCAATGTTTCGTTGCGGTGTATTACCACTCCGAATTGAAACCGGACGTTATAAATCTGAGCCACCCCAAGATAGAATTTGCCAGTTTTGTAACAATAACGAAATTGAGAATGAAAAACATTTTTTTATTACACTGCAAATTATATGAAATAAAAAGGATAGACTTCTTTCGTAAAATAGGATTTAAAAATTTATCAGATCTGTCTTTAGATGATACATTCTTTTCAGATATTATATGTAAATTTCCCAGACATTCAGCAAACTTTATATTTGATGCTTTTAAAACTCGCCAGAACTTCACAAAAAGAACATTCTAATATCATTTATCTTCAATATGTGCCTTTGTATATATAAATTGTTAAAATATTAACAGTGACATATAGGTCCTTTGGGCCGGGTGTAAGAAATTCAGTTTATTGTTGTAAAATTTACTGTATTACTGTAACAGTACACATGTCACTTTAATAAATAATTTACTTACTTTACTTACTTATTTACTTTACTAAGTCAATTCGGATCAAAATATTGTATATGATTTTTGAATATTACGTACTTTATTGTATTTACAATATTTGCACACCACCATGGTAAATTGGTTTAATGTTGTATTATGTACATTGTCTCTATTTTATGTGATAATATACTTGTATCTGTATTATGGCCCCCAGTGGGACCATGACTGGAAATAAATTCTATTCTATTCTATTCTTATTTTTATTCTTTTTATGAAAATTAAATAAATTATAATCTCAATATTGACATCTTTAATATATAATAATTTATATTTTTCTCAATGTCCAAAAAAAGATTTCACATCGGTGTAGAGAGGGTCCTTAAAATATAGTGGGAAATGGTTGTGTAACGTTATATAAAAATGATGTTGAAATGTAATACGTAATTTTTATTTTTTAGAGCTCTGTTAATGATTTCAGTAAAATATTTTTATTTCATTATATTCCAAAAGTTCCTTGGAATTTTTAAGTAATCCACATCTAATTTACATGTACCACTTTTGAATTTGAATATTTTATCTAACTTGTGTGTTCTCCATATGCAATTGATATCCAGCAAAAAGCTCATACATCTAACCAGAGACAAATTGGGAAATCATTTCATTGTCCATAAAAACTATATGTTTAATAACACCACTTCCTGTCTAAATTAATATAACATATCAAAAGGGGATTAAAAAATACTCAATAAAAGTAGTCCAGGGTTTCATATTAAATAAGTAACATGAAAAATTATATAAAACATGAAATTTATACCTCTAAATGTTTTAATATTCAGCATGCACAGAAAATGAAAGGGAATTCCTCGATCATGATTTAAAAAAAACGTAAATAGTAAACACAGATTTGAAAGAGAAAATTTTCACCATATTACAGTTCTTTTGTCACATAGGTAAAATACTAGACAGGCGGCACGTCGATTTACCCAAATGTACCCAAATGCGACCCAAATCACTACAACAACCTACAAAATCAGAAAATTATAAAACACGATACGTTACAAAATCCAATCTTCGGGCCTACATTTTTACACTGGGACGGCGAAACTGGAACTTACTATAAGTTCCTCTGTCATCTCAACGCCAAATTAGGTTACCCATCACAACTGAAAATTGGCAGTGACAAAGAAAAGGCCATTAAAAATGCCATCCAACAAGCATTCCACGACCCCGTTCACCTCCTGTGCACAAAACACCTTAAAGACAATGTGAGACGTTATTTGAAAGACAAAGAGGGGTGTGGCGTAAAGAAAAGGGAGTTTATTGTGAAGCTAATATTCGGCTACGACGACTTCTGAACAATGATGATTCGTTTTCCTTTGAATCAAAAATTGCTGATATGGAGAGTCGTATTTCCAAATTTCCAAATTTTTGCAACTATTTCGATAAACGTTTAAAACCACTTCTTTTGGACCATGTCTTCAAACCTCTTCAAAATGGGACAGTGAGCGAGCTTTGGACAAACAATAACTCGGAATCCATGAATAACAGACTCAAAGAATCAATAAACTGGAAGCCACATAAACTCCCGGACCTGATCAGCAAAATTAACGAAATAAGTGCGTTTCAGTTCAACGACCTTCGTCGATCCATCTATGGTAATGGTAACTACATCCTAGAGGACACCTTTAAGAATCATCATTTGTCACCAGATGTATGGGTGAAATTAAGCCAGACCGATAAAACGCGGGTTTGTTAAGGCAGCACATGGATCAGAATTCGGCGAATTAACACTTTTTTATAATTATGTAACACTAATAAATCGGAAAAGTCATGGATAAAACTTTTACTATAATTATGCATTCTATAGATTTCATTGGGACTTATACTACAGGAGGCACTTCACCACGACGTCACCACGTGACGTCTATAATTAGAAAATATGCCTTAATGAAAAAGTGAAAAGTTTAACACTACCCCGGGGATAATTAGTTCCAATTTATATTAATAGTTATGTAAAAACATCTCTGTACCATTGAAAGTGCTGCTAGAATCCTACTGTCCACTTATAGAAATAATTATTCAACAATATTGGATGAAACCTTCCCAAAATTTTTACATTTTGTTCATAACATCGCAAAAAATGCATCAGTTCCCGTAAACCATACGATTCTAGCAGCACTTTCCAAAAACAAAAGAATTAGAACTTTAAATAGAAACAAAAATTAAGTTTCAAGGTATGCGGCGAAGTGTTGAACTTTTGCATCTTTTTTGTTAAGAACGACAGAGGAAAGGCCGATCCGCAAGTAAACACCCTCCCAGATTTAATTTTACGAAGAAATTGCAGAATTATATTACCACACCTTATTCAAACGCTTTATTCCCACAAGAATCTCACATGTTATTCATTCTAAATGCTTTTAAACTCCTATTTCTTGTGTTTGTTTACATCAATTCTCGTTACTTTTCACTTTCACTCTGCTACTGCATGATCAACAGTTATGACGTCACGGGTTTGGCATGTAACCCCTGTGATAACTACAGAGGCCCAGGAACGACAAAATTCCGTAGATATTATTCCTCTGCATATTTTGGTTCATTTTTACGACCTCAAATCAATCTTAGATATCGATTTTAAGAAATTGTTATCTCTAAATCTCACGTCATATAGCTTATTATGACGTCATATCATATAGGCAAGTAGAATATTTGGTTGTAACCTTAACCTACCTGCGAAGGAAACGAACTTGGAAATTCCTGTCGCAGAAACCCAGAGATGCCTAGAAGAAAAACTATATCAAGTCTACGAAGTGCAGTTTCCAGGTAAATACAA